GTGTTTTCCCACTCGCATCTGTTTGGGATTCTCGTGGAAAAAAGATTATCGTAGCATACACTGGAGGTGGTGTAGACCAGCTCCTTCGGCACTTCTGTAAGAGATAATATTTTTGTATAACCTATACTGCAATTCTTTCAAGATTGAGTTGCATTCAATCTCATTGCGTTGCCGCCCTCTTGCAGTTTCCCGTATAGGTCTAGAGGAAGGAGGTCCAGTTAATACCAACGATATTGGGTTAAGCTTCCTCAACATCACATATAAGACCTTATGTGCTTATGGTATGACAGATTACCATCAGCCCGCCAGTAGATTTCACATTTACCAGATATTCATAATGAGTCAAATATTGGAATATTCAGACTCGTGAGAAGGAAATCGGATCACATCATCAATCGGATCATATCACATCGATTCTAAAGCTGCCTTGGAGATACAATGATTAAAATAATATATTCAGTGCTGTCAGTACTGCAACCAGTCTGTAGAAAGTTAAGGAATGAAGGAAATACATAGTTCTTGTAGATAGACAACGTCTAGTGAGGACCTTCGAATTGATCAGTCAAATGAAAAGTGAAAATCCTCTCTCGAAATGAGTTGATATTATGAGTTTTCGACGCTTTGCGGTTTGTTTATGGTTATCTGCTTAGGCGTTGGCGTGACGTAGTTCAGCGAATAAATAGGCAGACGGCGGTTATGTTGATTAGGTCATGTTATTCTTAGGGAAAGAAACACTCCAGGTCTAAAAATCCTCGATGCAGTGCGCGCAGAGAAGGCGATTAAGATCACCAATCCGGCTGAGAGATCAATTGGATAGGGACTTTATCCCACTTGACTCCTGCAAATATTGGAAATAGCAGGCACGCTTTTAGTATTTGGAAGAAGGAATTTATTGGATTTCATTGGTTGTACTACGTATAAGGTCAATGCGGTGAGGAGTTCAATATTCAAGTCAAAAGAAACATCTACCATCCTAACGACTATATAGTCAGTGTTCGAAACAGAGAATACATGAAGGTATTATCAAAAATTTACTTTTAGAAGTCTTCTCTATCCAAAGAAACAAAACTCTCAGTTCACTAATGGAGCAGCGCTACAGAAAATAAAAGAAGCGACCTACTTAAGTTCATAGGGAAGCCCAAATGAATGGAAAAAAAGTCCTAGGCTTAGAGAAAATCGGCAGCTACTCCTTTCTATCTACCTACCTTCAGGCCTATCGCATGCAAATGCAAAATGGACATAATTGAACATCCTAAATGAAAAGTTTTCTTGTAAAGCAACCGAAGAAACGAATCTACACACATTTAAAGGACATTCACAGCGAGTTCCTCAACATTTTTGTTTTTACATTGTCTTTCTGTGGATGACGTCGTGAAAGCCCTTACAGCCACTCGAAGACGAAGATGTCAAGGTATGTTGTGAGTGCTGTTGAAATCTGGCGCACTTACCTTTTCACTTTAACTCTTATTCCAAGACTGCTATCTCCAGTTTCCAAAAAAATTCAAAGCGAGTCTTTCCATTTTGTATATTTTCAAGAGAAAACTCAACCTCCGCTGCCAAGTGTACCCTCTACTGCAACAACAAAATTTAATCTAATGGAAACCCTTCCATCCTACTGATGCCCAGACGCAGTTTTTAGATGGAGATTCCTCAATTATCAACCTAATTTTCCATCATCATCCATATTTCCTACAGAGCACCTTTGTGAGTAATTACACACGCACTTGAACATATTTAAATAGAGACAATGGTAAAAGGGAACTATTTGCGACATTAAGTGCTTTTTTTTCAATGAATATTTTCCATTGTTAAATTTCCATCAACAAACGGTTGAGGAAATATCGTTCAAAAATTAAGCGGTTGCTCAAATGAGAGACGGAAAAATAAGCAAACAGCAAATGAAACAATGAGTAAATGCCCTTAGCAAGCCAGCAATTTCGACGAGTAGCTGCGAGTAGAGGCATTGCAGTAATGGAATTGTCAACGCAAGCTGACCGTAGTTATCTATCATTGAGGCATGAGCTGGCGCTGCTGGTCTGTGGCAGTGGAACTTGCGGCAAATGTTGGCTCAATGCGAATGGCCATGTCAATGCATTTCCAATATGTGTATGTACATGTGTACATATGTACAAACAAACGTACATATCAATAAATATGTATGTATATGAGCACTTCGACAATATTTATACATACACGTTCGTATGTATTTGAGGCAGTAATGCACTGTTGCAATGTTGCAATGCCAAATCTGATGTACATATTCTAAAGTCGAGTAAGTCAGTATGTATTTGTGCATGTCCGAGTTTTTCCAATTTGTTCTCTTTCACACACACACCCAGCGCTCTCGTTACTTTCTTTCTTTTTGCCTGCGACCACTTCAAATATTGAATATCGAATCGATTGGCCTTGCATAAAACCCATTTATCTTGGATCTCGAATGGATGGAAGGAACACAGTTGCAATTGAAACTTGAGGCGCACACAAAGACTGGAAAATGATGGAAATTTATTATTACTTGTGTAAACGGAAAGTACCGGTGATTGCCGAAAAGCAGTAAAGGGAGAAAGAAAAGATTGTTTAAAGAGAATTACATTTTAGTCGAGTTAGTTTGTTGAAGAATTCTATTTATTTTTTTTTCTAAAATTCATGAAAGAAATTTAAAACAAGATGGAATTTCGTATATGTATATATATATTTATATATAAGCATACTATTTCGCTACTAAAGTAGGCTGTTATTTCAAACTTTCTCTAAATTTCACGTTACTCAAACACTAGGCGTAAAGTTGATCATACGCCGTGGGTGACAAGGAATAATTTATTTGCCCCGTTCGCCGTTCCGTTGCAGTCGTAGCAGAGACTGTAGAATAATAACGTATATTAACGTTCTCTGATCGTAGTTAGGTGCTCTGAGGTACGATCGCATCGAAAGAAGTAGAGGAAGAGAGAAGATAATTTCGAAATCAGTCGCCTTCATGTGAATTTGTGTAATCGAAACACAGCGAAGCTGTTTTTTTGCAAATTTATTTTGCATAAAATAAATAAATATAAAAAAATCTCTTCTTATTAATAATTTAAATAAAACAAATATTGTGAATTATATTTTCTATTTCATTAAAATAATTTAGTACCTTTCACCGCCTTCACAAATAAATAATTCTTAAATATTTATAATAAAATTCAGTATTCATTTTACATAGACGAGAAAGCAATAAACATAAATAAACAAACAAAAATAAAGAAAAAAAAATCAAAAATTAATTATGTTGAAGCTTTGGCTCCAGCCTCAACATCTGCAGTTTAAACCCAGTATGCCCCATAAGCAATTCCACCTTTATATGGTTGCGTCTTTTCTGCTACTGTAGTTGCTTCGCTGCAGTATCCGCCGTGCTCTATTAAGATCGATGCAAATAGGTTACATTTTTTCCATTTTCTTGAACACGGTTTCTCTATGTCCTCTGCTTTCTTCATAAAACCTTTCTTACAGAATTATTTGCACCCTCAACAAGAAAGCAGTGCCCGTCTTGTCTGACTTGGTGAAAGCAGAACAAAGAAGGTGGTTATTCTGATATCAATATTATCGGCATAGGCCAGCAAATCACCTTGTCTGAAACTCCGTTTGGTATCGAAGGGCTCGGAGATGTTCTTCTCAATCCTTACGAAGATTTTGGTATTACTGAACGTCAGTTTACACTGTCGTATAAGTCATAGTCAGACATGGTGACATGAAGGTAATTATTTTTCCTGCTGTCGTAGTCTTCTTTAAAATCGTCGTGTAGATGGTGTGCGTTAATTCCCCTTTCAGGGATCTTCTGGAGGTTTTACAAATAAATCAAATAAATGAATAGTGGAACTACCATGGTTAAATCAGTTTGTTGGCCGCAGGCTACAGTCTTTCACACCATATGTCAGCCTCCTCATTATCGCATTTGAGGTCCTAATGCGAAAGAAGGAGGCTGATCTTACTGTAATTGGCGCAGACTATGGGACCCCTTTTTAACAATTGGGCAGAGCACACTTTCAGCTGACAATATTTTGTCAGTTGTTTGCTCGGCCTCAGCCGCAACAACTTCCTCACAGGCGGACAAATGTTTCATTATCTGTCCCGACATCATCGGTAAGGGAATCGGGTTCATCATCTCCTGGGTCCTAAAAGAGTTTGTTTCAGTCGTAAAACCTTTGTCGTCGAACCTTTCCTTGCGTTTGTTGATGGGCGTTCTTTGTTGCAGCAAAGTAGGGGCATATCCTTGCTGCTACAAGATAGTAAAGCGCTGTTTTTTGGTCCTCGGAACGTTGGAGACATATCGTTTCTCACAACGTAATCTATCTTGTTGTGAGTTTTTCGACCTGGAGAAAGCCAAGTGGCTTAGTGAATTTACTTGTACTGGAACCAAGTACTGTAGACAAACATTTCTCCGCCGATTCGAAGCCTCAACCCATTTGGATATGTTTCAACGTAGAAACGCATTGAAGTTGCTAAGCACAGAAGACATTCTTGGTTACTTCAACCTACTCTTTCGTAGGGACCTGCGGAAATATTGACGTCTTACGCGGCGATAGTACGCAAAATAATCACCATAAATTCCCAACTCCAGTTTTGTTAAAGTTACTTTCTACAAGTTGAGGGTTTCTTCTCCTTGGAGTAGTAGGAACTACCATTCGATGAAGGAATTGTAATTTTTGATTTTTTAGCCGAGTTTCGTCGCATATTTGGGAGAAAGAACCTACCCACAAGTGACCTCTAAGAGGCCATTATATATTTTTAATATAATATATAATAATTTAAAAAAATATATATAGTCCGAAAAAATTTTCCCGAATCGATAATTAATCCTACGATCTTCTGCCACAAGACTGATTGTTTAATTCATACCTGTTTATATCAAGAAGAGGAAATAGAAAAGTGCTGACCCAATTTATGAAATTGAACCATTTGAAGAGAAAACAAGAATTTTTATTAAATAAAATTTATTTTATACATATGTACATAATTGATTAACATATAAAACTTTGAGCTTTATCCGAGAACTAAAATTTGAGAGCCTCACGTATTGTAGTTATCGATAATTTGCACAATGCTAACATACGAGCCCACAACCCCACCAAAGATGCCAAACGCCATCAAGAGAAGGTTTTTCACCAACATCAGTTTCCATACACCATAACCACCACCATATTGCACGCAAATTTGCAGTAAAGCGGGAAAAATCAAACCGAGTATAGATAAGCAAAATGAACCGACTAACGATAAGAACAGCGATAAGTCTGGTATGGCCACAGCGAAACAAACTGAAAAAAAATTTAAGTAATATTATTAATATCGTGTTGCATATGTACATACGATTACACAAAGTCCATAAAGTGTAATTTTATAATGACGACGGGAGATGTGCAAAACTCTGTCATACATAAATTAAATGTGAAAAAATTGCTATTTTTACTACTTACACGTTAGCAAAACAATGGTGGCTCTTATCAGGAGCTCGTATAGCACATGTCTGGACTTATTTTTCACTCGCTTCGAGAGATATTTATTCCAAATGATATCGGCTGTAACGTAACCTTGCAGAGCGTATGTAATCCAAGTTGTAATGGCGAATATAATCTTAGCCACCTGAGCTAAACTGTAAACAAACAAAAATTCAGTGCTTAGGTATCACGTGAAATAATAGAAAACTTTTCTACACACAGATTTGTCTCACATCATTTCTGATAAAGAGGAAGTTTCAGTGAAGTAACTCCAACGTATTCAGTTTGAGAATCCACTGAAGCCTGTGACAGAATGTGTTACCCCTGTGAACCCACAGGGTTCAAGAATTTACCCGCGGTAAGGCATGCCTGTCGTAAGAGGCGACTAAAATCCAATAGTTCCCGCGACCGTCAGGTCTTTATACCGGAGCGACCCGGTTTAATATCCGGCTAAGGACTGTCATCCCCTGTAACATTCACCAAAAAGTACTTTGGGGAATGTGCACCAGAAAGGTGGCAATGTACAGACAAGCTAAGGATCGATGGGATGGGATCGTTTTCAATGACGATTCGAAAGCATACAAGAAAAGCAACTAATGAAACAATGATGACTCTCTCGGTACATGCAAACCATAAGACGCACGTCTAACCGATTTTTAACGCGGTTTTGCCGGTCTTATCGAGTGTCGAATTTTTTGAAAGAGGGAGAGTCTACCTTCGATTACTCTCCTTCACCATGTCAACAAACGTTTAGTCACAACGCGCATTAAAAAAATTATTTTTGATCGAATGGTTATGGAAGATAAGATCGACGAGTACAAACGTCCACCCTACAAGAGCTTGGATGCACTCCTGCAGTTTGCTTGCCGATTTCGATGACGGTTTCGTATAAAGAAAGTAACTTTTGCACACGGAAAATACAGTCTCTAATCTCACTTACCCAAGCAGGGTCTCTCCCCAAAACAGGCAGTGGCTTTCAATTTAATTGATATTGAAGGCTCGGTATCATATATAATGGCTTTATCAAACAAATTGGTTTGATCTAAAATGAATGATCCTTAACGAAACCTCTTGGATTACTATATTATCGTATTCAAAAAATACCTGCCAGTCTCTGTGTAAAAAAGAACGTAAGAAAAGACTTGATGCCGAAAGGCTCTAACACACAGACCCCACCTTTAACTTCCACTCCTTCAAAGTAGCTTTGGGGAGAGAAAGAAGAGCCCTGTTGGAGTAAAAGAAAAAAGGAATAATTGCCCTACCCCCCGTGTCGAAAGGGGATAGGAGGTAAATCGAGCCCTCTTTACGAACCCAGTTTTCTTCAACCATCGGCCGAGCAAGCAACAACCAGTTTCACCTTGGCGAGGATTGCTTATTGTACGCGTTCTAACAGCTTGGGGACTGCTGATTTCTAGAACTTTAATAAACTAATTTTCTATGAGAAAGGAATCGACTCACACCACCTCTTTGTTGATTTTGAAGAAGCCTTCGACAGCGAGAAAAGGAGCTTGCTCTATGCGCTATGTCTGTGCTTGGTATAACCGAAAAGTTTATACTTGACGTGAAGTAACATTAAAAACTCCGTCTGAGTTACGAAGAACTTCTCCGAACCGTTCGGAGCCAAACGAGTTTCAGATAGGGTGACTTCATATCGTAAGGATTCTTCAATCCAATTTTTAAGTAAACAATAAGAGAAAGTATATCTTTCTATAAGAGTCTACAACTCATAACGTGTTGATGATATTGGTATCAGTTCCGCTCTCTGCAGCCTGGTTATTGATGCCAAGCATATCGGTCTGGTTGTGAATCACGGCAAGACGAAATATCTCCTGTTATCAAACAAACAATCAGCGCCTACGATTCGTAGCTCCCACATCACCATTGACATCCATAATTTTGAAGTTGAAGACGATTGCCTAGGAACCAGCATAGACAGTCAACAGTTGGACTGAGCAGGCACCTGAAAAGCCCCCTCCCCACCGATAAAGACCAAACTCTAAAAGCCGCACCTCATTCTTGTTCTACTGTATGGTCAACAACATCCGATATGTGTTTCAGCGCATAAAAAAATAACGGCTACGCGAAAAGAATAGACAAAAACTCCAACTTGTGGAAATATAGGTATAGAAAGATCTACTCTCTCTTCTTCCATTCCTCAGGACAATTTTCTATCTAACATGATCTTCATGCTTCCCTTTTGAAATGTGCTCTGTCGCACTCATTTATTGCGCAACCAGTGACCACCAATGAATTATTATAATTATTTTGAATATGTAATCAAAAAAAAACGACTTACACTGCTTCCTGTGGAATATTAAGTGTCACACTACCCAATGCCTCATCACCATACTCCCAATAGCCGAAGAAACCGAGCAGAGTGTACAAGGAGAGCACAATTGCCATGCCAACGTTCAGCACACCAAAAGGCTTGATGTAGGACTTTGGTTTCGCCATTTTCTCTTCTATGGCAAGAATCTGTGAAAGAAATAAAAAAAGTATTAAATAAAATTCACTGAAATAAACAAGAACTACTCACGACGCCAACAGCTTCAATGGCGAAGAGCACAGTGCCAAAAAATATTGGTAATCTCGAAATCTCCTGAAAAGGTTTGCGTGTGGAAATCGGCGGCAAAGTTGCGAAAATATAATAGAGCACAATGCCAAAACCTTTTGGAATAGAAAGAGGATATATTTTTTTATAAAAAAAAATCTAGCGTAATTTTCATTACCCACGAATAGCATTAAGTTGGCAGTAGTTGAAAATGGCGCTAACGTTCTCAGGCTTCTGATACTGTACAACAGAAATAGTGGAATTAAAATGAAACACATATGCAATCTCACATCTAAAACCACTAGATATTCATCGACAATCTGTTTAATGCTTTCTGATATGAAGACGACGTAGACGCAGCAGATGCCAAAATGATAAAAGGCAAGAAACCCGTCAACGAGAGGGCTGAGAGAGAAGAAAATATAAGAAAAATGTTGGAAATGTAAATGTGAAATTTTAAAAGTTAATTTCCATTCATTATGACAGATCTACATAAAATTTCACTAAAACATACATACATACGTTGCGATAGGTAAAACAAATTTAAAAATCGGCGGACCATCATGCAAACCAATTGTCATCGCTTCGGAAAACGTCATATATGGCACACGCTTTCGCTTACACAGCGCATACATGGAGTTTATCTGAGGAAAAAAGAGTAAATATAATATGTATGTATGTATGTATGTATGTATGTATGTATGTATGTATGTATGTATGTATGTATTAATTATAATGCCTACCAATATGTGTAAGCAATGCACCGCAATTCCTCCAATAATCAGGGTTAGTACTGGTCCTGTTATGTAGCCTGCATTCGCGAATGCGCTCGGCATTGCCAAAACACCCGAACCTATTGAAGCCTTCAAAAAGTGGGCAAACGTTTGCATAGTTCTAAAAATAACATATAAGTATTATCTTTTCGCTCTTTAAACACTATTTTGATTTACTCACGTAGTCGGATTTTCAACGTTTCGATGCAGATGTGGATCATAGTCGTCATTTCCGCTCGCAGCGTTATTTCCATTTGATGCCTTCGGAGGCTCTTTGCCACTGGACTCTGATCTAAATTAAGTGTAAAGAAAAATCATTGAAAATGTGTTTTTGTTGTTTTTGTAATCAGTCGACGTTCTTGTTCTTCTTCTTCTTCTTCTTGGCCGCTTAGGCGATCTTAGCCGAATTAACAACAGCGCGCTATTCATTCTGTCTATGCGCTGCTTGGAGCCGATTTGAAATACGTAGTAAAGCCAGTTCCTTCACCACCTGGTATTTCCAAAGAAGGGTAGCTCTGCATCTTCCTCTGCTTCCACCGTCGGCTACTCTACCAGAAACAAAGCTGGTGTATTCTTATACATCTGAGCCACATTACCTAGACAGCGTACCCGCCCTCCTTTGATTTGCTGAACTAAGTCAAGATCGCCGTATGTATCGTGCAGCCGTTTATCGTTCCATAGGTTGCGGAACTCGCCATTCATAGCATACAGAGTACCGTAAATCTTACGCTAAACCTTCCCTAGAAAACTCCTCATACCGACTGATCAGATGTTGTCATTATCACTGTCATCTAGCAGGACTGGAATGATGAGTGAGTTTGATCTTTGTTTGTCGAAAGAGATATTCACTTGTCAATGGTTTACTAAGTCCAAAGGAGATAGACGAAATTATCTACGAGTTCAAAATTATGACTCTCTATAGTGGCGTAGTAGCCGATTTGCAAATGCGCCGGCTTTTGTTTGATGGTAAGAGATATTTTGTCTATCCCTCGCTTACTACCAGACCCCCACACTTGGCTTCCCTATCCAGTCTGGCGCGCGATTGTTGAGGTTGTCGTACTCCAGCCATTTAAATAAGAGAAATCACTCCATAAGTTTTACAATCAGCCAACGTTACCTGCTTAAAATATCAGCTGAGTTTACTATCTAAGATTATTTCGAGGTATTTGGCTTCGGTAGAGAGAGTGAGTTCTATGCCTTTTAGTCTTCGTGGTTTGAAAGAACCATTCTGGTTTTCGCCGGGTTGATATCCAGTCCATTTTAGTTCCACCAGTTCCCCACTATGTGTAGAGTGTTTTGGAATAGTGTAAGATTTGTGAGAGTTTCTCTGTCGCTGTTAGGGTAATATCGTAAGAATTTGCTACAACATCAAAACCTATGCTGTCTGGTTGCTGAATCTGCGTGTTTACTATAAGGAACCATAGCAGTGGAATGCTCTTCAGATGTACTAGTTGTTGTGTATTTGGTAATATAGGTATTGTATATTCCATATCAGAAGCAAATAATCATGTTTCTCAAGAAAGATTCAACGTGCCTTACAAACAGCTGAAGAGTTTCCGTTATAGCCTCGGGAAGAATTTTGCTAATAGCCCATTCAATTTCAAGGAAAACGATAAACGCAGATATTCTTTTATAGAAAGCTTTTTCTCGATTCGTTCAATAATAACGCGAAGCGCTGCTTTGATGGATTTTCTCTTGGGTGATGCGTGCCTTTGGAGTATTTATAGGTCGAGCAATTTCTTTAAAGATTTTTAAAATAAACAAAGTCATACTGCTGGACCGAGAGTCTTTGGAATTTACATGTTTGGAAAGATTTCACTAGATCAGGTCCGTGCATACTGAATACATGCCTCGCGTAGGCAGACTTTGTTAATTTCAGAAAGCAACGCATATGGGTTGTCTACAGCCGCAAGAAGTATCCCATCCAGATCCGAAGATTTATAGGTTTGGAATGATTTTATTGATCATTCCACCCTTCTACGGCAAACAATGACCCGCCTGTTCTGTATGATGGGAGGGGTATCGAGTATTCCATCACAAAATATGGTCAATTCTCTATCTGATCAATGTCTCAGCTATAGATTTTCCAATGTTCTGTTTGTGCTTTCCTGATTTTTTGAAAAAGAGTGACCGTTTTCATATTTCACAACAAAATTTTATTCTGCTTGGAAGCTCTTATTTATTTTAAAGGATTCGTTATTAGATAAAATTGTCATTTGATTGGAGTGATTATAATTCACAAGTCATGCTTTACACTCCGTTACACTCTCAAAAAGTCATTGTTTGGTGTGCTATATGGATAGAGGCAATCACTGGTCTATATTTCTTCAAAACAGAAACGCGGGCAGTCACTTGCAGGATGTTGATGTAGGCGACCTTTGGTTCCAACACGACGGCGCTACATGTCATACAACCAACGAAACAATCTAGTAATTGAACGAAACTTTTGATGAACACATTAACTCGCGTCGTGGGCGCCAAGATCGTGCTATTAAACAACGTCAAACTGCTTTTTAAGAGGGTCATGTGAAGTCGCAGATAAACCCAATGCGATTGATATCTTAGAAGAGAATATTAAGCACGTTTTTTGCTGACGGACGTCTTTAAATGCTGAAAAAATAATCGAAAATTGGGGCTCTCGGTATTTGGTTCGAAATCATTTTTGAAACATGATGGAAAGCGCTTATCTATTATATGCGTTTTATTTCTTCTTGAAAACCTCCTATGTTTACAAAAAAAACACCCAAGGCACTCCCATAAGACAGATTGTCTCTGCTGAGTCGCTATAATTTTGTCTGGTTTGGCTATTTGAAATCATTTGGAACATAGTTCCTTCGAAGCCCTAAGTTTATCTAAGTTCTAGCTTCAATTTATGTTGTCTAGAAAGTCTTCAATACCAAGAAAACCCCCTTTGGCACTTATGACATGGTACTACAATTTTTTTCAATGAAAATTTAAATTAAATTGGACGCTCAGATAGCGTTACATACAATCTTTAACTAAAAGCACTCCAACGACGGGGGCAAGCGTAGCTTATTTATTCAGTGAATATCACAAAATCATTGGAAGATAATAATAATAAAACAATAATAATAGATAAAACTATTAAGCAGCACACCATTTTTTAGTTTTACAGGATTTCTCCAGTTCATTGGGTATTTATTTATATATTGAGTTTCGAATATTCTCAAAGTCGTATTCAACAGCTCAAGGATATATTTTATTTGTTAATCAAATTATTACAGTATCAAAAAAAAAAAGTATCCAGTCAGCACGATGTGTGAGGGTAGTCATATTTTATAGCAACTATTTAATTGACAGATAACAAAATAAACAGCATTTGTAATAAAAAACCTTTAAATTGTGGCTGAAATTCGCTATACTTACTTCATGTTGAAATTATATAATGTTTTTCTACAAAAAAAGAATAGCTTTTTATGTCATTTAGAAAAACAGAAACACACTTTTTAGATTAACCAACGTTCTTAACACTTATTTAATTGGTTTTTAAATGCAAAAACATTTTTATTTTCGAAAATCCAAAAAAATATTTCTTAACGCGTATAAATATTTATGAACTCCAATAAAGAGGTCTCAATGTATGCAATAATTAAAATAATTCCTTCGAGGCAAAAAAAAAAATAACAATAACTTTAGCAGTACTTTAAACAACTTGATAATTTCCAACAATAACGATCGACACTGTTAAAGCCGCGAATTCACACTGACAAGCGCGACTACTTCGAACAGCATTTTTAGCTTCCAAAGTTGCATTTTTTACTCCGAACAACTCAATTGCAGGTAAATATTTGTAAAAAGAAACATTTTTAATCTCAGTTGATAGTTTAGATATTTAACTATCCTGCCATACATACCAATTTGTATAACTCAAATTATTGGCATAATAAAAAACGATAGATAGTGTAATACTGCCTTCAGTTTAGTGCCTTATTGACGGCATGGAGGGAGCTCACAATAATTTCCAGTGCTTTTTAGATAACAAAACGTAACTTATAACTTGAAAATTATCTCGCCTCTCGTTGAGAGCAGGGCTTTGAGTGACTTCCTGAATGGCATGATTTTGTGACATCACTGGAGGTTTTTTCCACTTGTACCTTTGCTTCTGTTTGACTGTAAGCACTTGAGCTCCAAAGTGGTAAACATATTTATTTATTTGTTACAGCTCTGAAAGTCTCCACTAATTGCAAGAAAACTAGGCACAGTGGGCCAAATATTGAAAGAAACAAAATTGATTTCACCATAAGTGGCAGTTCAAAATTTATTTTCCTTTTAATACAAAAAAAACCATTAACTTATATATGTAGTAAACTGCAAAGCATAAAACTTCAACTAGAAGTTTTTTCCGTTTTATTAATTGCAATGTGATTTTATTTGATTAAATGGCCTAACCTTTGACTCACTACTACACTATACAGTATATGTATTGATGAGTGCATTAGTCCGTGCCCGATTCCACTGGATGCCGTTCGAATCGTTTGAGAGTGGCGCTCGTGAAAGAGATATATACATATTATATATCGTTGGAAAGGTGACAGTCCGAACTGTAAATCAATAATAAAATAACTTCATTTTGATTTGAGTTGCTTAGTGAAAAGCTGCAACTAAAGATATTCGCGATGTTTATTTGGACAGTGCTCCAGGACTCCGCACAGTAAAGAAATGGTTCGCGAAATTTCGTTCTGCAGATTTTAACCTCGAAGATCAACCTCGCAGTGGACGGCCTTCTGAGCTTGATGACGATGTTCTAAGGACTTTAGTTGCGAATAACTCACGTATTTCGACGGAAGAGGTTGCCAGTGAATTGAACGTCAACAAATCAACTGCGTTTCGTCGTTTAAAAAAGGTTGGGTACACTTTGAAGCTCGATACATGGGTGCCACATCAGTTGAGTGAAAAAACAAAGTACGGTCCACTTTGTCAACAGCAATTTCTTTGCTTCGACGGATCAAAAACGAACCTTTTTTGGATCGGCTCGTGACTGGTGATAATAAATGGATCCTGTACAACAATGTTCAACGCAAAAGAACATGGAAACAGGCACACGAAGAGGCGGAACCGATGTCAAAAGGTGGATTGCATCCGATGAAGGTACTGCTGTGCATTTGGTGGGATATCCGAGGCGTGATCTATTTTGAGCTCTTGCCAACTGGAGAAACGATCACTGCCAGCAATTGATGAAAAACGTCCGATTTTGGCCAATAGCGAGGGAGTTCTTTTCCATCATGACAACGCCAGGCCACATGTTGCAAAACCGACCCTGGCCAAACTGAAGGAGATGAATTGGGAAATCATGCCGCATCCCCCATATTCACCCGACATTGCACCTTCTGATTATCATTTGTTTCGATCGCTGCAGAGCAATTTGAATGTAAAAAAATTTAAAAATGTGGAAGACGTCAAAAACCACCTTGACGTAAATTGGTTGAACGTTGGGAGTGGATTGCCGAAGATGATGGCGAATACATAATTGATTAATAAAGCGCTTTCTTCAAAAAATTTCAATTTTAGTTTGCCCTTGAAATCGGGCACGAACTTAAGCAAGTACAGCCTTGACCAAAAGTATAAGGTACCCCACTAAAATACAAGTATTCACAAATGTGGCTATCAAATTTACCACTTATTTTTCTAAATGTCTTACTTGGGTGTTTAACTGTTGATTAAACGAATAAATTGTGTAATATTGAAAGTCATAACACTCTGGGTAAGCTAAACATGAAAATTGGAGTTTTTAAAGAAATTCGTAAAATATTTTCGCATTTAAAATTTAAAAATGAAAATGTAAATTACATTAAGTGAAAAGTTATCAATCTTATGAAAACAGTTCATATTTACCGAAATTCCTAAAAAAAAAAGTGAAATTAATAGTTGCGATGATAGAGTTAGAATTGAAGTTCTAAGGGAAGAAGGTAAGTCTCAGGCTAAAATTGCCAATTTCGTGGGATGTTCGCGGTGCGCGGTACATTGTGGAAAGTGGAAGAAAGCGTCTAACGAGAAAACGAGAAGACCGAATACTTATACGCGAGTCTCTCAAAGATCGCAAAAAATCTTCTTCTGCCCTTGCAGCTGCCTTTTCGGATGAATTTAGTAAACCAGTTAGTGCTCGAACAGCTAGAAGAAGACTTCTGGAAGCAGGTTTAAAAGGATGTAAAGCCCGAAAGAAACCGTGGCTCTCAGAAAAGAATAGGAAAAATCGTTTGGAATGGGCTCGCCGATACCAACAATTCGCGGAAGAAGTTTGTCCGAATGTTCTATGGTCTGATGAATCAAACTTTGAGGTTAGCTTAGTTAAGATCGTCTTAAAGTATTAACAGCCATAGCTTCTTACACTAGAGCAATTTTGAAGACCTAATACAAATCTTATGAAAACATTATTTTTTTCTTTTCTACAGTTATTTGGAACAACTGGTGTGACGTTCGTAAAGCGACGGGTTGGGGAAGAACATCATCATTGCGTGGTACCCACTGTTAAGCATGTAGGAGGCAGCGAAATGTTTATTTGCGAGGGTCGCATGGATAGTCAAAAGTACATAAATGTATTAGAAGCTGTTCTTCTGCCTTCGTTAAAGCGCATTTTCGGTAATATTAATTTAGACGGGATTCAATTTCAGCAAGACAATGCTCCTTGTCACAAATCAGCGACTACGATGCGTTGGTTTAGAGATAACAACATTGATTTTTTAGATTGGTCCGCACGGTGTCCAGATCTCAATCCCTTTGGGCTCATGTGGGCTATTTTAAAACGCAAGATTAAGGAACGAGTGGTACGCTATAAGTGCGGACGAATGCGCAAAGCTTGTACGCAGCATGCCTAAGAGAATTGCTGCCGTTATTAAATCGAAGAGTGGATCTACTAAATATTAATGTTATTATCACTAATTCATTGTATTTTCACTGTTTCACTAATAAAACATCATTATTTCACTTGTTGAAACAAAAAATTTTGTAATTAGTTTGGTGCCTAATACTTTTGGCCAAGGCTGTATATATATATATATGTATATATATATATATATATATATATATTTTTTTTTGTCATACAAGATTGAAATTTATTGAAAACCTTAACTACCGAAAACTCTTATCAAACAGAAAATGAGTAAAATTGTAATCATAAAAGATACCAAGAACAAAAAAACGGGAGCTATTTTCGGGTGGCACAGCTTAATCAAGATATTATTATTATTATATTAGAATAGGTCTAGTAGAAACTAATCTTTATATAAACCATAAACAAGCACCGTTTTGCTCTACAACTTTTTGCAATTTTGAAAGTATGTCTCTCACATAGAAACTCTTGTCACTAATGGCACAATCAATATGCACTATAAGGTGAATGCATAAGAGCCTTCTCACTAAGCTCCGGTACTTCTCGATGTGTGTGGCATAGCGTTGTCCTAATATGTGCTTCATCACATCCCATTACCTCCTGTTGGCCAAAGCTGGGCGCATCTAGGCGATTGCTACTTGCAGTTAATCTAAAGGTCCGAATTAGAGGTTTGGCTGTAGGAAAGCAGCTCATAGTGGATGATTCCTTCCTCCTAATTTCTCCAAACTCGCAACAAAACCTCCCTTCGTGAAAAAAAAATTAACTTTATATAATTTTGGCTGTTTGTTCAGACCAGGACTCCAACACTGACCTTTCGAATGTCAGTACGCAACCTCTCGGCTTTTGCGGTCATCCTGACCGCTAGAAAAAATTGTTAGAGCTGCAGAACTAATGATACAATGGCTGGTGGATGTCGATGATATTAGGTCTACTCTTTCCAGACCAGTCTAAGGAAATAAGACGAATGGATTTGGTAGTAAAGGAGAATAAGACAAAATATCTTCCCTCATCAATCAAACAGTATTTGCATTTGCGTCTCGACTCGCACATTTTGACAGTAACAACTTTGGAGCCATATATGATTTCACCACTTTGGCAACGAAAAGTTCAGTTCTCTCCCCTCCATCAAAGACAACAGTGATATCCATAGGCTAATGAAGGTTGTATGAGGTATTCGACGACATTGACATAACTTAGTGAGGAGAGGAAGATGAAGGACTCCACGCCGTAAAGGTCAGATTTCAAAAGATCTGGATTCGCTTAGTTTCTCCCGTTGGTGGAAATATCATTGAATTCGAATGTGTTTTTAGTATCAAAATAATTATGCTTCAGTTGGCATATGTATAGAGTAGGGGAATGATGAGGTTTCCAGTAAATGTGTGGACTAAATCTACAGTGGTTTTCGGAAAAACTCGTAATAACAATCGCTTCTTAGATAAGAGAAGAAGAAACAAGTCTTCAAACGTACTCATTACACCTTACTTCAAAGAGCTCTAATTCCACTTAACTTGTGAAGTTAATTTATATCAAAACCAGAAATTTATTAAATCAATAGATAATTAGTTCTTTCCCTCAACTCCTTGCCACTCCCTCTCACTGGACTCCTTCTCATGCGCGACCTACAACAAACATTCCGCCAATTCACACTTCAATCGGGCTATGTATAGTTGGGAGTTTCGGTGATTCCCCAGACAGATTTGTCTTAGAGCCGTTGTCTTAGATCTCCGCATATTTACATAAACAGCAAGCTCCACCTTCTAAAATGACCCTAAAAGCTGTATAAACAAACGTTACTTACTTACTTTACTGGCGTAGACACCGCTTACGCGATAATAGCCTGTTTACAACAATGCACCATTCAGCAAAAAGAAGTGTTTGGCGCCAATTCG